ACACACACACACACACACACACACACGTACACACACACACACACACACACACACACACACACACAACACAAAACAAACACTTTCTCTATTACTCTTTCCCTCCCTCCCTCTGGCTTCCTCTCCCATTCTCTCTTTCTATCTGTCTCGCGCACGCCCCCATCTCGCAGCCTTTCTCTTTCGCTCTTTCCCTTTTGTTATCGTCTTTCTCTCATCTGTCTTCTTCTCTCTCCCTTAGTCACTCGCTATGTGTTCGCCATACTCCTACCTCCGACCGCTTCTCTCTCTCTCTCTCTCTCTCTCTCTCTCTCTCTCTCTCTTTCTCGCTCTCGCTCTTCCTCTCCCCCTCTCTTTTGCAGCGTAATTTCTCCGCTTCTCTATCTCTCGCAAAAAACTCTGATGAAACAGTTTGAACTTTATATAGCCACTATATACCTTGATTAAACTACATAAAATCACGCGTACTTTGATCAAACAATGATCCAGTAACGCGTCAGCTATTAAAACAAGTAGAACCTGTCATACGATGACGTCACTTCCGAACAGATGATTGGCTCCACTCCGCATTCATCCCACACATCGCACTCACAGGTACGTACCATGACATACCAACAATACCGCAGCCACAGCAAGCTGCAACAGTATCACAACCGCATCGCAACCATAACTACTTCTCCAGGTTCTCACCAATATCTCCTCTGGGAACGGTATCTCCCCTGCGAAGTATCATAGCCGCACAAATAATATCAGGCACATCCAATAATATCATCTCATATAACGTAACTCTGATTTCATCAGCAAGTGTATGCCATCTGGAATAGTATCACGACTGTCGCAGTGTCACAAACGTACTGGTTGCTCCAGTTATGGGTGCTCCCTGTCAGCTCTCTATATCAGCATTAACATCCCGGCCACCAACAATGACAGTAGCGTGTGTGAGCGTGTGCGAGTCTGTGTGTGCGAGTCTGTGTCAATTTCCATGCTTATCCACTCTTATCCTTGCTAACCTGCCCGCTATTGCTGCGGCTGGCAGCGGGCGCGTCGCGGCTGGATGGATAGATGCGAATGTAGAACTGAATGCGACGCTACAAAGCTGACTACGCGTGCGTGTAGCGGTGCCAACGCTACATCACACGACGTTACACACGACTACCTAGCGACTGATCACAGCTCTACTGTGCGTTCCTACGTCTCACGCGACTGCGATGGCCACGACGAGTGACATTACTTCGTAGCAGACGACGCGAATGACATCATTTCGTAGCAGACGACGCGAATGACATCACTTCGTAGCAGACGACGCGAATGACATCACTTCGTAGCAGACGACGCGAATGACATCACTTCGTAGCAGACGACGCGAATGACGTCACTCTAGAGAAGAAAGGGATGGGGAGAGAGAGAGAGAGGAGAGAGAGAGA